CGAACTAACTTGGACCAGATCGAAGAAGTACACAACCTGACTTACAATCGGGTTGTGGCATACCAACAACGGGTAGCTCAATACTATAATGCCTGGGTCAAGAGACAATAGTTTCAAGTTGGCGGCCTGGTGCTCTGTAAGATGATGGTATCTGAGCTTGGCGTAGGTAAGATCGGCCCGAACTGGGACGTTCTGTACAGGGTGAGACGCATGTTCGGAGAAGGCACGTATGAGCTTGAGACAATGGAAGGGAGGTCGGTACCCCAAGCATGGAATGTCGACAACCTAAAGAAGTGTACTACCTATGAGCTCGAGAGTTAGATATCCACCAAAAATTAACTAAGTCTGGAAGATCACCGAGCTAGCCATATTACGAATCAAGGAGTGGAGTGTGAGTCGCTCATAGAGTCTAAGGGCCACGATGACCGAGCTAATGACCTTGGCACAACCTAAGACCTAATTGCTTCGGCATGGGCAATATGAGACCTAGTCGCCTCTTCGGCATGGGCAAGCAAGAAGTAGCTCGTGTGAAGGTAGGTCGGGGAAACACCATCAAGACTGCAACTAGGGAAACACCTTTCAACCTGGCATACGGAATGGAGGTTGTGATCCCTACCGAGATCGAAGTGCCAACCCTGAGGCTTGACACATATGACGAGGAGGCAAATGATGACGAGTTCCGTACTAACTTGGACCAGATCGAAGAAGTACACAACCTGACCTACAATCGGATTGTGGCATACCAACAACGGGTAGCTCGGTACTATAATGCCCGGGTAAGAGACAACAGTTTCAAGTTGGCGGCCTGGTGCTCTGTAAGGTGATGGTATCTGAGCCCGGCGTAGGTAAGCTCGGCCCGAACTGGGAGGGTCTGTACAGGATGAGACGCATGTTTAGAGAAGGCACGTTTGAGCTTGAGACAATGGAAGGGAGGTCGGTACCCCAAGCATGGAATGTCAACCTAAAGAAGTGTACTACCTATGAGCTCGAGAGTTAGATATCCACCAAAAATTAACTAAGTCTAGAAGATCACCGAGCTAGCCATATTACGAATCAAGGAGTGGAGTGTGAGTCGCTCATAGAGTCTAAGGGCTACGATGACTGAGCTAATGACCTTGGCGCAACCTAAGACCTAGTCACTTTGGCTTGGGCAATATGAGACCCAATCACCTCTTCGGCATGGGCAAGCGAGAAGTAGCTCGTGTGCAGGCAGGTCGGGCGTATTCCCTACATTGTCTGCTCACTTCGGCATACATTGACATCGGATTATTCTTACTTACGCCGAGCTTGCCAGCTTGGCACTTCGGAATAATCCACACTTAGAAAAATTTTTACACGGTCAAGTTTTTTGTACGAGGGGAACAAAAGGATTCTATTCATTCTAAATGAAGTTTTAATACATTCAAAAAAAAAGGAAGAGAAGGGAAACAACTACTCAACATAATTACAGGAGGTCCAAGAAAAGAGGCACAGTTTAATCTTGATGGGGCTCCTTGCCCCCTCCTTTAACAAGCTCAACATCCTTGGTTGAGTCCACCTCCATATATGTGCTTGTAGTAGCATCCTTATTGGTCTCCATGACCTCGTTGACTACTATGTCAAAGTTCCCCGACTTCTCTCTAGCTTCCAGATCAACATCATCATCCCCATCCTCCTCGGAATCTTGATCTTTGCCCGCCTCTTGAATTACAGTCTCTATGGAGACCCAAATTGTTGTGAGCAGTTGAAGATTGAGCTGGGGAAATGTATGCCCTGCCAGCCAATGACAGACTTTGAAGCCCTTGCGAAAGGCTGAGGTAGTTGTCTCGTTCACAAAGTTCTCGAACTCCGAAGAAGTCTTGTAAGCATGAACAGCGTGAGCACCAACTTCCTTTAGATCTTGGGAGAAGATAGCCTCGTGCTCAGAAAGGAGAGCCTTCTTTTACTTGACCTCCTTCGTCAATTTGTGGATGCACTCCTCCTTCCGCTTCGCCTCTACCTCCCTCTTCTTCACCAGCTCCATAGGAAAGGCCACCCCTCAGTGTTGCGTTCCACAAAGTAGCGCCTTTTCCAGGCCGGGACCTTGTTCGGGAGCTCGTGCAAGAGTTTGTAGCACAGACGTGGTGACAGGTAGTAAGTTCGCATGTGTTCGGGCAGAACACAGGATGAGTTCTTTTTAATAGAAAGAATGGAGGAGAAGATGTCGAGGTCGAGAGGAAGGTTGTAGTCGTAGAAAAGAGAGATTGTTCCTACTACATTGCAGATGGAATTCGGGTGCAACTGGTCTATGGTTATGTTAAAAAGCTTTATGACTTTGACTATCAAGGGGTGAAGTGGAAGACGAAGACCAGCTATGAGCTGTTCCTCGAAGATCACGATCTCGTTGTGACCGTGCTCCCAAGGGAAGTTTCCTAGGGGAATACTGTAGACTAAGTTGTTTGGAAGCTTATACCAGGCTACTAGGGACAGGAGCTTGTCTGCCGTCATTGTCGACGAGCCAAAGTTATCTGGCACCCGACCTCGATGCGAGGTGGAAGCCAGGTCATTAGAGGCTTCTCATTCCCCTCGGGGTGAGTCCACCTCGGGAGGACTGTAGACCGCATCCTGACCCAAAGTAACCTCTTCGGTAGGACGAAGACCGGCCTGAGCCAAGGTACCCACCTCGGCTTCAGCGGATTCACTGCTCCCATCTAAAAGGCTATCGAAACTAAAGCTAGACATGGAAAGACATGGAATCGAAAAGGAGATCTAGGGAAGACTCACCAAAGAGAAACCGAACTGAAGAAAGGAAGATGACCTTGGGAAGACATTGAACTGAAGGACTTGAGTGCGACCTCAGAATGCAAATTATTAGACTTGTGGCGAAGAAAATGAGTCCCTTGCCCCCTATCTATAGCCACTGTATCTGGGAATCAACGATCGAGATCATCACGATCCAATGGCTCCTAGGAAAGCCGGTTGCACGACCCCCGAGGTTGAAATCGGTTTAGCGCATGTTTTGACGTCCGCGGAGTTTATAAAACGGCTTGACATCCATGTGTACACCTGACGTGACCTGGGTTGTTCCTAGTTGAGCCAAGCGGCCGAGCTGGTCCAACCAATGATTCGCCCGTCAGACTGCCTAGACCTCATGCCAAATCCACCTGTACTCGTCATGAACTCCCCACACCGGGTTGAGACCCCTGGCTCGGGGAGTGGGGGGCAATTAATGAAGGGTAATTTGGCCTCGACCTAGCGAAGAGGGGATACGTGGACACGACCTAACCAAGAGATGACAACTCAGCCTAACAAGTTTAGTTCGCAACAATTGAGCTCGGGTATTCAGTCACCTCGGCACAAGGGCTGCCTCGGCTTAAGGCTCACCTCGGTGCAGGGCCACCTCGGCATCGAGGCACCTCGGTACCCAATTCAATTCGGAACTAAAAGACCGAAGTACCAGTTCGGAACCAACAATTCGAATCGCCACGTAACTGACTCCCACGTAACCAACTCCAGAGGTCTCTCCAACGGATCCCGAATCTCTCGAGATCACAATGAGCTAACAGATTCTGACTTTTTCGGGATCACGATGAGGACTTATCCTAACTCCACCGGAATCAGAAGTGGAACGAGATAAGCCTTACCTGTATATTGCTCCTTCAAAAGCGGAGCGAACTCTATCTCCCCATCTCGGATATCCCAGAGCTCTTTCGTGAGTTCCACGACTACTTCAGTATATAAAGGCACCAACCCCAATGGCTTAAGGTACGCATGATTTTTCTGCTCTCTAGCTCTCTAGCTCTCTAAGCTCTCAAAGCTCTTCAGCTCGCATCACATTACTAATTTAAGCATCGGAGTGACCTCGCCGGGTTAGCCACCCCGGATTCTTTGATCCTTTCTTGCAGATTCACTTAACTTGCCGTCCGATTGAAAGCTAGATCATCCTCCAATAGGGAGCAGTCAGATCGTGCAACATCATATTCCATATGTAAAAACTAAATTTTTTATTAGACTTGGATTTTAATCAGATTGGATGGGGTTAAAAACCACATCCCGTCTGATTAGCAACTTCTAACATATAAATTTGGGATAATTGGACTTTTGTAGTGGGTTGACGGCAAGTGTTCTATGGCCCATCTACATCTGAATTCAGGATTGAGCCTACCAAACCAATTAATTTAACGGCTGATCCATCAACAACCCCAAAACGCGTAATTCCATACTCATACCTAAACAAAATGGGATTAGATGCCCTCAACTTTCTTGAGAGAGAAAAAAAGAAAAAAAAAAACATAATGGGATTCCCTATAAGCAAAAACTTTGAACATGCTCTAAGTTTGAAAGCATGAGAATCCATTCCTAAGTTGGATATATCTCTCCACAAATTTAATGTATGGAAAATATTCTCAATCTGCAGTTGGATACTATGTGAATATAGTCTTTGTTTGTAGGAAATCTAGGCTCAAATAAAAAAAAACTTCTTGCTCATTGAAGAATGAAGATAGGTAATTGAGTGGTATTTTGCAAGAATGGCAACGGGACGGGGTGGGGTTGGGTTTTGCCTGCCTCGTCTCCAACCCCAAACTCACCCGAACCTTGATAGGGCAAGAAATTCTAACCCCATCCTTGTTCCCCGAATTTGTCCCGCCCGCCCCAGTCATTCCTATTTGTATAATCGGGGTGGGTTCAAGGATGGGTCGGGGCGAGGTGGACAAATACCACCCCGAACCCTGATCAATAGTTAAAAAACCCACCCCAACCGGGGCGGGGCAGAACGGGACCCACGGGAACGGGACAAATTGCCCTCTCTTATATTTTGATGAGATCAATGACACAAGTTGTAAATCACTAAAAGGAATTAGGCCAATTGTCAATGTTAAAACTATGGAGCAGTTAATAGGAAGAAAATACAAAACAAGGTAGCTCATGGTAGCTTTCCTTTTCCCCAAGTCCAGTCCCAGTCCGTAAGAGTATACCGCGTATAAGCCCCGAAAGGCTGGAAACTTCGCCCCCTCCTCCGATAATATCCCGCCGTCCATCCCTACAAACTTGAAGAAATCTCAACCGTAGCATTGCTGTCCCTCGCCACGTCGCATGCTGACAGTTTTCTATCTATAGCAAAACCCTCCAGACCTCTAGCTCCAACTTCCCACCTTCAAAAATTAACCTTAAATCTGACAACGACCACAACTGAAAACTCCCAATCTCACAAACAAAGCAACCACCTTCTCTCTGTCTGCCTGTCTGTCTCTCTCTCCCTCTCTCTTCTCTTTCTGGTTTCTCGGGTTTTCACAGAAATGGCGACGAAAATCGCACATCAAATCGGTGCCCTGTCTGTGACGCCCGTAGCTTCATCAGAAACCAGGAAAGAGTCAGGTGATCAGCCTACTGCGGTGGTGAGTGTATCGGCTCTCTGGAAGACACCCTCACGGCCTACGAACCTACGGCCTAGAACTCAGAAACAAGGGCAGGTGGTCGGAAGAGAGATGGAGGCCAGCCTGTCGGTGGCGTGTCAGGCGCTTGTGACGGAAACGGCGATGGTGGAGCGCAGAGATGGAGAGGTGGGAGCTGCGCAGGTTAAAGGGAAAGGGGTTCCGGTTTACGTGATGATGCCGTTAGACAGCGTGACGATGTCCAACGGGGTAAACAAGAGGAAGGCGATGAATGCGAGCTTGATGGCTCTAAAGAGCGCCGGGGTGGAAGGGGTGATGGTGGACGTGTGGTGGGGGTTGGTGGAGAGAGATGCGCCTGGTGTGTATAACTGGGGAGGGTACACGGAGCTGCTGCAGATGGCGAGGGAGCACGGTCTCAAGGTTCAAGCTGTTATGTCCTTCCATCAGTGCGGCGGGAACGTTGGTGATTCTTGCACGTGTGCATCCTAGCCTCCTACCTCTCTTAACCCTTATCCTACGCCTTTTCTTTTTAGATAGAATTTTTGGTAAATTACATTATTACTACCTATTCTACTTTGGGGCATTGGAAATTACTCCCTGAACTTTTAGATTCCGAGAAAAAGATTCCTTGTTTTAGTATTTCCTCGGTTTTCTTTTCTAAATTCAAAATTACCCTTTTTTCAATTTCTACTTATTTCTGGTTTAATTGATATTAATTGCATATTGTGTTTGTTATAATTCCAGATTTTTATAAAAGTTTTTTGACTTTTTTGTTACAGTTTGCATTTTATAAAAATTTCTTGAGTTGCAAAATTATTTTGATTAATTAATTCTTTGGGTCATTCTTGAAGCGTAAAAAAAAAAAAAGCTCTTAAGTCATTCAACTTGACAAAAAAGGGATTTTTGTCAAAATCTAAAAGTTCAGGGGGGATTTTGTTTCAAATGAAAGTTCATGAGGATAATTTCAACTACTCCAAACTACAAGGTAGTAATTTGTAATTTACCTAATTTTCATTTTTTATTGGATTTGATAGCGGAATTTCTGTTGGTAAACGTCAGATCGGAATGTTGGGGTTGGGCTGCCTAACGTCAGATTGGAACATTGAATTAATAGCCATGCCATCTATCCTCTCCAAGGACCAATCTGACGGTTGGGTTCCAATCTGCTCTGTTCTGTAAGTGGATCATGTGATCCATCCATGGCCTGACACTTTGAATTCTGATAATATCGTGATTCAGGATTCCTTTGCCTAAATGGGTGGTGGAAGAGATAGACAGAGATCCAGACCTCGCGTACAAAGATCAATGGGGAAATAGGAATTACGAATTCGTCTCTCTGGGCTGCGACAACCTTCCGGTGCTCAAGGGCCGAACGCCAGTCCAGTGCTATACCGACTTCATGCAAACTTTCAGGGACAACTTCAAACACCTTCTTGGCGACACCATTGTGGTAGTTACTTGACTTACTTCCCCATTAATCTTTAGCCTCGAGAGCGAAGTCTGTTTCTGATCAGTTCTTAGCTTGGAATTGGGTTGTTCGTTCAGGAAATCCAAGTGGGAATGGGTCCAGCAGGAGAGCTCCGCTACCCTTCATATCCAGAACAGAATGGAACATGGAGGTTCCCGGGTATAGGAGCCTTCCAGTGTTTCGACAAGGTAAGGAAGGGAAGGATCTTCCATCTTTTCTGTTGCTCGATCGGATATCTTCCAATTTTCAAATGGGTGTGTGTCTGTTTAAATTGGATGATTGCAGTACATGGTCAATAGCTTGAAAGCTGCCGCCGAAGCTGCTGGCAAGCCCGAGTGGGGTCACAGTGGCCCTACAGATGCTGGTCACTACAACAACTGGCCGGAGGATACCCAGTTCTTCCGCCGCGATGGTGCCGGTTGGAATAGTCCCTATGGTGAATTCTTCCTCACTTGGTACTCTCAGCTGTTACTGGATCACTGTGAAATGATGCTGTCATCGGCCGACTCCATCTTCCAAGGCACCGGCGTCAAGATCTCGGTGAAGATTGCAGGAATCCATTGGCACTACGGGAGCCGGTCTCACGCCCCTGAGCTCACAGCAGGGTACTACAACACCAGGTTCCGAGATGGGTACCTGCCCATTGCTCGTCTGCTGGCACGCCATGGCGCCATCTTCAACTTCACATGCATCGAGATGAGGGACTATGAGCAGCCTCAGGACGCACGGTGCGCGCCTGAGAAGCTTGTCCGGCAAGTGGCATTGGCAACCCTTGAGGCCGGGGTTCCGCTTGCAGGGGAGAACGCATTGCCACGGTATGACGAGATGGCACACGAGCAGATCTTGCGCGCAGCCTCCTTGGATCTTGACGATGGCAACGACAGCGACGGGAGAGAGATGTGTGCTTTCACATATCTGCGAATGAGCCCCGACCTGTTCCAGGCTGATAACTGGACAAGATTTGTAGCGTTTGTGAAGAAGATGAAGGAAGGGAAGAGGGGGAACCGATGTTGGGAGCAGATGGAGAGAGAAGCCCAGCACTTTGTCAGTTCAACTCAGCCGTTGGTGAAAGAGGCTGCTTTTGCTCTCAGTAAGTAATAAAGTCTAGCCTTGCCTCCATCCGCAGAGCTGTGTTAGAGCTCTCAAGTCTCATCTAAAAGCTTAGGCTAGCTTGTAGTTTAGTTAGAACGGTTCTTATGGTATCAGAGCTTGTTCATCCATATATAGCATTGTAGGATTGGGATCGATATGGGGAGTCTGCTGTACATACAACCCTGTATTATATTCTATATTAATGGCAATAAAATGGGTATTTTTTCAGGCTTAAGTTCATTAATGGTCGGTCTGAGTTCATAGAAGTCGATGAGAGTGGATTTGAATTGAAGCCTGTAATTGCTGCAGAACCCATCAGCCATTTCTGGTGATATACTTGTTTGGCATCACAATAGAGATGACTGAGCTGCTAATTTGAGTTTGAGTTGGTTCTCATTTACTGATCTATCCACGAGAATTACTCCTACTCCTTTTGACAAAAGTGAATCATTTGATGGTCAAATCCTTTTAGCAAGAAGCCAAAGCACTTGAAAAGCAAGGAAGCTTGTGCCCAATATTTAGGATCCGCTGCTGTTATCCATCTGGTCTCTGTTATTGGAAGCTTGACTCTTGACTACCAGCCCCTTGAGTTAAAAGTTATGGAACCATTTGGATGTTAAGAGCATGTCTGTCCAACCTAACAATGAAGTGTTTGGATGATTCTTGCATCAATACTGTACTAACCATGAATTGGGCTTGTTTCATGGTGGACTTAGCTTGCAATTGCCCACAATTTTATGGATGGGATAGATGACTGAATGGTTCGTTGCATCTACCTCAATGTACAAAACAAAATGATTCAACAAGCAAGTATTTGCAACTCAAAAAATGACAGGTGATTGGTTATCTGCTATTGAGAGATTAGGGAAATGGAAGTAACCTTTCTTACTACTTGAATTTGATTAATCATCGATTTTATCTTCCACCTAAGGGTGTCAATGGACTGGTTTTGGATTGGACCCCGTCCGGTCCAAAATCAATTTTGATGGATTGAATGGACCAATAAGACATATTGGATTGGATCATTCTGATCCAAAATATTTATTAGATTGGATTGAACCCGGTCTGTCTATAATAAATTTATATTGAATTGGGTTGGATTAAGTCAATATCTGCTGGTCCATTGATATAAGATAAGAATATAGGTGTTAATGGATCATGTTTGGGTTGAAACGATCTAAATCAAAATGAATTTGAACAGATTGAACGGTCCAGACATTCAATTGGACCAATCCAAAATAATCCAAAATAATCCAAAATATTCATTGGATTGGATTGGACCTGATCCATTTATAATGAATTCACATTGGACTGGATTGGATTGGACCAAATCCTGTCCAATTGCCCCACTTCTACCTAGTTGAGTGGCAGGTGCAAGGAGGGAGAGAAAATGGGGGAAATTTTTGGCCGGGCCCTGGCCTGGGCTATAACCCTTATCACAGCTTTTAAGCCCAGCCCATGATCTACCCTACTTCTAACTTTACGAGGTGTTTTCCACCCAAACAGCCTAAGAGTAATGTTTGAGGTGAAAATCTGGGAAACCCAAAATAGCTATCTTATTACAACAAAAAGTATGGCTTTCCACTGAAGTTGTTTTGGTGGCTTCTCCAAAGCAGTTCAATCAATTGTTTTGGTGGCTTAGTTTGTTTTCAATTCAATTTGGTTTGCACGGATGCAAAAGTATGAGAGTACAAGTAAATTAATTGTAAATTCTGGTTTAGTTTTGTTTCAAATGTACTTTGTTTTGTTTGTTTACAGTGAAGCAAAATAAAACCTCAAGCAAAGTAAAATCCAAAGTAAAGTGAATCAAAATGTATACTCTTCTAACTTGTACAGTTCTATTCCCATCCATTTGTACTAGTATAAATCAAATTGCAGTGCAAACAAATGGGGATTTTGCTTATTATCGTTATATATGCTTTATTACGTCTCTCGTCTCGTGTATGAAATGTGATGGTCCTAACTTCTAACCTAGTTCCTACCAAACAAAAAAAAATGCTAATCTAGCCAAGTCTGCTGTCACTCTTAAGGTGCTATTCAGTAACACTAAACTCTGGATGTTGAAATGAAAGTAAAAAATAAAAATTTGTTTCTCTACTTTTTCTGAAAACTGAATGCAGGGTAATGGGTATGTTGTTGAGTGCTGCAAGTCGGGCCGGGTTAGGTCAGGTTGAATCCAACCCTAGCCCAATCCTAAGTTCTAACCCAATCCGACTTCCAATTTGACCTATCCAATCCTAACCCTAATCCTAACTAAATTCTTTCAATCCTAACCCAAACCAAAGTCAACTTCAGGTTGGGCTAAGCTCGGGTTGGGACCAACCCAACCTTCTTCCCATCCTTAAAATCTTGTAGAACTTCTTGATCTTAATCTTAACTCAACTTTCATTACATATATTAATCCTATGTTTTATTAGTATTTGTTTCTTGATGTTTTTCTTGGTTCTTTAAGTACAAAATTTAGAAAAAAAAAGTGTTTGAAATGACTATAGTTTATTATGAAGACTTATAATAAATCTTTTATGGGCAACAACCTATGGGTGGCAAACAATAGAGAAGAAACAAAGAATAAAATATTCAGAAAACATAAAATATGTTATCAAGGTTTTAGTATTTCCAATTAGGATTAAGTGAAGTGACTATCTTAAATGTAATAAATGATAGTATGTGGTAGTGGCTATACAACTAGCATGCATCTAAACAAATCAATGTATCATCATATATATAACATATATTTATATATGATATGTACTACAGAGTTGGATTCGGGTTGCCCAATGGGTCAACCCTAACCCAACCCAAAGTAAAGTCGGATTCAAAAATTTCAACCCTAACCCTAACTCGAACATAAACCCGACAACCCAACCCATTGGGTTGGTTTAGGGCTAACTCGGCCCAAGTTGCAGCCTTTGTTCAAAAGCCTAACCTTGAGTTCTCAAAGACAGTTACTTCATAATTTTGCCCTAATGATACATTGAGAAGATTAAAGATAGATTAAAATTATTCATTAAATAATTAAGTAAATGAAGGGATGAGAGATCCATCATACAGATGGCCGAACCCTGCAGGAAGGTTGGGCAAAATTTCAAAAATTTCTCTCTCCCATGTGGGAATTGCATTCCCTATTTTAGAAAACTGCATTTTCAATGATCAATCTTGAAACCAAATTGGACCAGATCTGAAACCAAAAGGGAGTAGAGGGATATACTTGATGTGGAGTAATAGTAAACCCCTAATGAAGGTATTCACGCCCAAGGAGAGAACCAAAGACTGCTTCCACCGAAGATGACACAGTGTGAGGTGAAGCAGAATCAGCAAGACAATTCTTCAGCAAGAACTGAATTCTTCAGCAAAAATATGATGGAGGGCTGGTGAGCACGACTTCAGATTGCCTCTTCTAGCAAAAGGCAATATCAAGAACTATTCTTGATCACTCCCACTAGTGGAGATCAAACTAGGTAGGGTGGCAAGAGCAAGAACAAGAGCAGAAGACAGAAGTAGTCGTACTGTATATTGTCTTCTCTCTTAATTCAGTAGACTATCTGATGATTTGGAGGTTCGCCCTGTTCTTCTATTTATAGCCTTGAAGAGAGGATATTCCAATTCCATTAGGAGTTTCCTAATCCAAATCCTTTATTTGGATCTAGACTCTCTTTAAGAGATAAGGATAATCCATTATCTTATCTACAGATAAAGATCATCCTTCCTAATCTCATTACGAATTTCCTGATCCAAATTTTTATTTGGATTTGGACTCTTTGAGTGGATAGGGATAATCCCTTATCCTATCAGTTGATCCAAATCTCAGAACCGCCCTCATTTAATTAATCTTATAAGCCAGTTCGAATTGGGCTTTAGGCCCATTAAGTCTATGTGCACACTTAACCTCTTAATCTACTACCCAGTTAGCTATCCTTGTATGGCATGGGACCCAAACATTGATCTACACATCAACCACATGGGTTCAGCCCAGTCTCTGTTACAAGGCCTGGCCGAATTCACTATAAGCGACAGTAAACCCTTGACTCCATCACCATGGGCTCTTAACGGGCCCAACATTTACAATAAATGGTCATTGGGTCAAGCCACCTTATAAAAACCCAAGGACTATGGGCAGATGCAAGATTAGCCCATCAGGTATTACCCTCAATGGTTTTACACTTAACATCTTAGCCCATGATGATCAAACACTGCCCAACAAGAGAGGACATCTCCTTCGACTACAAGGTACAGTGTTGCACTCTCTACTCACACGGATCCCGGGAATTAAAACATTTTGCAAACATTTTGAAACCATAATATATATGTATATCTCTATATAAATATATTTTGCAAAATAAATTTCAACGGTTGAAATCGACTGCCGGTAGTTTTCGTTTCCATCAGAGAGAGTACATCCCCGATCATTCACTTTGTCCAAGAAAGGGGTTGATCCTATCACTATGATCACCCACTCAGATGAATTCTCCGACTGTCCCAACATACCCAGGTTTTGAACCCCTCTAAGGATCTCACTGATTGGCATATCAAAGACAGCCCAATCCGACACCTAGTGTAGTATCATAATCCAGTCTAAGGGTCAGGTCCAAGGCAGTACTGGAATTTTGGTCTGGTTCAGAGTTTCAAGAAAACCCACACTGCATGTACCTCAAGTCTCACCCTGGTAGCTGAGACAAGCCACCCCAACTAATTTGGCAACACATCAGTGTTAGTCTTGGCAAGATAAATCTCCCCAAATCTATCTAACGGCTGTGAAGATTTTAAACTAACACGAGTCTCATAAGTGTCCAATTTAAGGATATTACATAGAAACACACCATAATAACACGAATCAAATATATACTTTATTCATTTACATTAAATGTCATAATGTACATCATTCTGATTGGAGTAAGGGCATACACTCTCTAAGTAAATAATTAAGTAAAAATATATACTTTATTCATTTACATATATATATGTATATATATACACACCATAATAACATGAATCAAATATGTACTTTGTTCATTTACATTAAATGTCATATTTTTACTTAATTATTTATTAAATAATTAAGTAAAAATATTAAATAAATTACTAGATTAGTAATTAATAATAATATCTTAATTAATAATTAATAAAAAATATTAAATAATTAGTAAAAATTAATTCAATAAAAAATAGGGTTACTGTCCAACTAAAAACAAAATGATCATAATAAAAATTCAGATAAAAGTGTTAAGAGGTTTAATAAGCGGGCAC